TTTATTGTGTCTATACACCCTTAGGTAGCACGTGTATTATTACAAGCACAAATTATACTAATAACTGATATATTTATGCAGCTAATTTCTCTCTAGTCATGCCACTTGCCATAGATAATACATGATACTCAGTACATGAGTGTTTTTCGTTATGATATCATTATTGATCAGCTTACGTATTGTTTCATTATCACATATGCAATATTCTATGTCGAAAGTCTCTAAAGACAGTACATGTGTGGCATTTATGAAAACATTGAGGAACAGAGAGAAGAGCCCACAGTTCTTTCCAAGTTCGGGTACAAGTGTACGGCGCTCTCGGCTCAGATACGTGACACAAGAGGCGAAGAGCACTACGTCCCTGGAATCCCAGAATGGACAGCTTTCGTAGAATCTTAAATGCTTAGGAATAATTCAAGGCCGACCAAAGTGTTAAAAAGTCTAAAACAGTTATGTGAGAATAACTAATATATACATATTTAAATATGTACAGATAGTGCTGATTCTCATCTCCACTGATCTAGAGGATCCACTCTTATGGTCGTGTTAATGTCTCCAGGCGCGTTCAGCTAAAAGATCTTCATGTTCGATAGTGAGCACCTCAGTCTAGCGTCGAGCAGTGGTAACTAGCATGGGGTAGCCTCGCAGTCCATCTCGAATGCTAGTAAAAGTGTGTCTGATCCTGGAGTCTCGAGAGACAAGTGGTGTGTGACAAAGGACATACGCCTACTTAAATCCATCGAAATCGTCCGTAGAGATGCTAGCCAGTATAGGTACACACATCCCAGAGCTGAGTGGTGTCTGTGCGATCTACTTCCGGCTTCCATCGTTCCATCATTCTGGACTCTTCCCTCCTCCCATCCCGCTCATCGCTTCCTTCCAACACTACAGACATATGTGGACTTAACTCAGATCCATTGTTGTCATTACTTTCCACATTGTTTCCAGCCACCCGTAAGTGAAGCAGAAGAAAAGTGCTAGATGCTTCGTTCTCCTCTCACTCAGCCTATTTCGCAAAAAGCTGCCTTTCCCACTCTGCCCCTACGCGTTCTGTTTGCCCACGTGCGCGACTCACTCACTCTGCTTGCGACCATGGGAGTGGATACTACTCCGAGTGAACAAAGGAACCAGAGTCCATAAGCGATACAAAGACAGAGGAGCAGTAGAAGAAGATGACACGTGAGAGAGACTGCGATGTGTAGGAGACAGAGCGGAAAATGCAGAAGGAAGACCGGCTGTGTCCTCTGAGAGTGAGCACATAGGAGAGAACACCTTTGCGCAGCATGGCTCAAACCTTTCAATTACAGCTCATAGTCAAGCGACACTAACGCTCCAACGTGTAGCCGGATAACCTCACAGACACGACATTTGGATCTGCGCCAACCTCTGCACTGCTAGCCATCTAGCCCATTGTACCGTGGGCCCAGGTGTGACCGTGTGTCACAGCGCTCGACTGTTTGAGTTGGCACAAAACAGTAACATGCTTTTGACCGCGACTGGAGCAGTGTGTCGACAGAGAACTCGAGGTTGCATCACTTCATGCAAGTCTTCATTATGACTTGTGTGTGATTAATAGGTAACAATAAAGTAGGTATAGAGTTGGTGGTGTGTGTGTATAGTTTGTTGTGGTGAGTTTTAGTGTTTGGCTAAGGTTGGGGTGTGTGTGGGTTGTTGGTTGTGCTAGCTGCAGTTGGTTCTCATGATTGATCTCAGTCAGTGCTTCCCTCTCTGTTGTAAGCTCTGGGTGGTGGTGTGGTCTCGCCACCACTTCCTGAGGGAAATCTGATCTTCTTTGCTTCTTTTAATGCTCCCACTATGTTCAGCAGGCTGCCTGTCGGACCGTGTCTCTGCTGGTTTGCTGCTGACGAGGTTCGTGGACGGCTGGCTTCGGTCCCAAGAAGTTTATAGGATTCAAAATGAACAAAGACGGTAATGAATCACTGTTTATTTACTCTTTTCTTTTCTTTTATTGATATTCTTAAACTGCATTTCAGACGGCGGTCAGTGGCAAAGATCTGGACCACTGGACTGTTGTCCCTGTTAAAATGGTTGTAAATAGTTATCCATTGGCACAATGCTGTTTACTGTATGTGAGGATTCATGGTAATGTGGCCTTTCTTTTATTTTGCAGCTCACAATCATTCACATCATGTGCTGTGGTGCAGTGGATGGATGGGCATCACTTGAGAAAACTAAGGTCATCACATGACTCACTGTCACACGGGGAGGAGCCCTGGAGAGAGATCATCAGTTTCACCTGAACCTCAAGAAACAGATGGAACTGACCCACCAGAACTGCAACCTGGAGCAAAAAGGTTGAAAAGGTGTTTAATAAATAAACCTGTGATTAAATTGTACTGAGTATGTTTCTTCATATTTACCATCTGCCTCATGATGAATCTAACAGTCACTTTGGTGAATTAGTGTTTTCATTGTTATTTAAATTGGTAAGTTCATAAGACAAATTAGAAAAGCACAAACTCTAGTATCTGTCTCTAGATCCTGTATTGTCACTGTTGAAGGACGGACACATTTAAACATTTCTATCATGTTTGTTGTTGATTAAAGCAACATAGAAAGTCTTTGATTAATTACAGATTCAGGAAAAACTTCAGTGTGTTGTGATTTCTATACTGTGCTGCTGCTACTGTTAAAATTCATACCAGACACGCTCCATAAAAACCATCAACAAAGCAAAGCTTCATAAGAAACTTTATTTACATTAAAACTGCATTAATTTCAACAATTTACAATCGACTGTAACTGACAAATTAAAACTAGAATACAGTTGTGAATGAAGGTGCAGGTGAACTTCACTGTCACAAGACAAGTCTGCATCATAAAGAGGTGGATAAATCTTATTTAGTAACAAGTATAAATTATAGTAGAGATGTAAAATAATACTTCATAGCTCAGTGAGGACAGAGCAACAGTCTGACAGCTTGACTGTTGTGTGATAAACCATTGTCCTGCTTTCCTCCCAGTGCATGCTGGGATACATTCCAGTACTTCAAACTTGTTTGTTTGAATTTTGAATGTTTGATGTGATGAAAGAAAGTTTGCTACATTTCATCCAGAATCACAAAGTTTGAATGTAGAAGTCACATAAATGTAAAACTAATAAGATTCACCCTGAAATTACAGAGAAGATCTTTAAATTGTTCGTATGGACATTAACCTTTATATTAACAAGCTACATTTTTAATTACAGATAATTACTGTCATTTTACATAGATTTGTTTGTAATTTAAGAAAGCAGAAAAAATACAGTATAAATAATACAGTAATTTTTCTTTACAGAAATGGGAAATAAATGTAATTCATTATTATTGGCATAATGCTTAAAATACAAGTGTGGCTGTTAATTCACAGATCATTTCTGTCATTTTACAGACTTTTGTTCACGATTTTAAAAAAACAAAACATTACTGTAAAAATTTTCAGTTGTTATCTGTAAAATTAGGATTTTTTACAGTGCACGACACGGGGCTTCACGTGACTCAGCAACTTTAAACTGGATTCTCACCAACTCAACAACAACAACAACAACAATAATAATTTGGAATTTGCACTTCATGACCAGAGTCATGGACAGAAGGAGGAAAATAAGGATTAAAGTGATCAGACAAACTGAGAGGAGGCTTTCATTGGTCACTCAGACATCAGAGACCAGTTCAATATTCAGTTAAGCTGGAGCCTGCAAAGCTAATCACATTTAACTCCTCTCTCTGAGGTTCCTGATCAGCTCAATCAGTTTATGGAGTCTGGCTGTCACAGAGTGTGGGAACATCAGACACAAACCAGCCTGAAGACAGAACAGGAAACAACATGGGCTTCATAATAAAACAGTGTATGAACAGGGTCTATTTACTATTCACAGATGTATTAGTGAAATCAAGCAGCAGCTTCAACTCCTGCTCTAAGTTCCTTTCATATGAGTCTCAAATGACTTTATAAATAAAATTAGTCAAAATAAATTAACTTTACTTGACAAAGCTGCTAAATTTAAGCAGCTACACGAATCATACAACAATCAGGTGTAAACAATTACCCTAGAACAGCGACCAATTTAACCTGCAGGGGCTCCTGTTCTATTATTAATACAGACTTCAAATGGGGATATTGTGGTTCATGCCAAACTCTCCATTTTCAATGTTCTGGTTATTTTAGCTGTCCTATCTGTATAGTAAATACATTTCTCAAATCTGACAGATTGATCATCTTCCAGGGTGCAGAGTCTTAGGAGTGCTATAAAAAAAAAGAATAAATCTGTAAATGAATAAGAAAATAAAGGTGGAAACATAAACAGGAATTTGAATAGAATTCCTTTGAATAGAAAAAGCTAAAGAAACATGGGGGCATTTTTGCCTTTATTTGAAAGTACAGTGAGAGGTAGAAAGGAAAGTCAGAGGAGAGAGAGTGAGGGGATGACATGCAGCAAAAGGCCGTGGGTCAGATTCGAACCCATGGCTGCTGCAGTTAGGCCTAAGTCCATGTGGTATGCACTCTACCAGGTGAGCCACGAGGCACCCCAACAGCTTTTTTTTTTTAATTGTTTTATTTATTTCCCTTTATATTTCAACATATTATTTACTTATTTATTCTTTTATTCGTTCCTGTTTATATTTCATTATAATGTAACATTTATTTTCTTATTCTTTTACAGATTTATTCTTTTTTATGGCACTCCTATGACTCCATAATTATTACGTATACACCACTCAAGCAAAGCAGTCTGTGAACTGAAATGAGGAGGGCATAAACACGCCCCCTTGTGTCAACATGAACACGGTGCATATTCCCAAATAAATCTGTGCTCAAATGTTTTGCCCGGAAGTTTATCCAGCCGTGTTCAGAGGTTCCGAGTGAGTCATCTTGTTAACAGACGATCTTTGGAGCGCTGTGCCTCTTCGCTACAATAGATCCGTACAAGAGTGACTCATCTTCATCACAGACGATCTTCGAGGTGCCGGAGCTCTCCCTGCAGCTGACACGGAGAATCAACCCGGGACTGGCCGCAGCTGTGAGCCGTACATCTTACCTGTCGCCGGCCGGTGTTGTCTCTTCTCTTGTGGTCTGAACGAACGTCGGTCGTATTTGCGGGATGCTAAAATGTTCTGATTCACCCCGCGAGCGATGAATGAAACGAGCACCAAGGGGACCGGACCGGCGGAGGCTCTGTTGACTGCGGGCTGCCGAGCCCCGCCTGTCGGGCTGTACGGAGGATGGAGCCGAGGCTGAGCGGGGATGGCAAGCCGTCCGTGTCCTGGTTCCTCCTCGGCCCTGTCTTCGTCCTCTCCCTCCTCGCTGTATTAGTGAGCTGCCATGGGACCTGCAAACACCGAGCCCCCCCTCCCGATGAGGTGAGCCCCGGCTCGTTCTGCTTGGTTTATACCAAGCTAAGCTAGCTAGCATGCTAGCTGTAGTGGGTAATTAACGTATCTGTTCAGTTATATTGTGTGTTTAAAAACTGTTGCTTGACACCCACTTCAGCCAATTAATATTAAGACGTGACGTGTTTGTTTTCGTGTTACAACAAAAGTAAAACTAACTCGGCGTGTGTCTAAACCGACATTTAATGAGTTGCTTTGCTGTTAGCGGGTAAGCTAACAGGCTAACACGAAGCCCCTTAGTTAGTGACAGTGTTGACTGTGTTTACCGACATTAACTAGGATGTACAGAGTCTTTCAAACACAGTTCAGCTGTGAAAGCGGGGAGTTATGTCAGTTTTTAATGTTCATCTTTAGCCCGTGTTCCCCTAGCAACAGCGGAATGAACACTTCCGGGGAGATTTCTTCAAAATAAAAGAGCAAATTAGTAATTCGTAACTTTATTTTCCTTTCTCGCTCTCTTTCTGTTTGTTGTATTATTACTTGTATGTGTTTTATTTACTATTATTATTATAATTTTATTATTGTATATTATCTGTACAACAACGAGGCTGTCATTGTTACTGCATTACTTACTAAATATTTAATTTTAAGTATGTAAGTAAGTTTAAATATTTTTGGTACTGATTAAATAACTTTGAAGTTATTAATCTTTCAAGGTTTGCTATCCACCTGACTTATATTAACACCCCCACAAAAACATAATTTTGGCATCTCTGTGCTGCAGTTTCTTGTCTTGTCAGTGAACTACACTCACACTGATACATCTGTAATAAGTTAAAATAACATTCATAATATTGGATGTTTATGACTTACCTTGATTTGTTGGGTGCATTGGACTAGCCATAAACAGCCACTCTCATCTGATTATTTAACTATATGTAAATTCTCATTTGGATATTGTGATTTATTGAACAGTATATTGATTTTGTTATGAATCACAGTTAGAGATTTTGTCCATATTAACCTGGAGAACTGTGGGTGCTAAATGTCAGTCTGTCCATGTTGTTTTCTTATTGTTTCTGCTGGTGCTCTCAGGTTGTCCATCATGTGTACCTGAAGCCTGAGCGTCTGACTAAGAGAAGCTCTCCTGACGACCTTCAGCTGAAGATAAAGATCATCTATGACTACAGCGTTGACCAGTAAGTAACCAGTACCCGTCCTACAACCCCCAACAAAACAAGCTTTAAAGCTGCAGGCTGACTCTTTGTAGTTTCTCTGGGACTCAGGCGTCAGTTGTATGACTGCAGTAAGTGTAAGTGATGTTTACTGGCTTTCTCTTTCCACAGGCTTCCTGCAGACAAGAGGAGACTGGTGAAGGTGAGGAACACTGACCTGTGACATTGCTCCATAGCGCTGCTGGTGGCCAAAATCTCCACAGAGTACCTTTTAAAGCTGAAATCTTAAAAAAATCATAATTGTGATAATTCTGGAAATAGAAAATAAAAAACAAAGAAAGAACAAAGAAATTAAAACAAATACAATCAGCAGTTGTAAGCCAACTCTGTATTTAGGGACTTTGTGTTTCTGGACATTTGAAGGGGTTTTCTAAAGTCTTCACGTTCAGCCCTGGTGGCTGTAGTTCAGCTCTCACCTGGGCAACTTCACTTGCTATGTAATATAATAATGTATATTATATTATCATAACATGGTTAGAATCATTGTATTATATAAATAATTAATAATAACAATAATACTGTTCTGTCATAACCCCACCACACTATTATTACATTATTCTGCACTATTTTATTTTCATATTACATTTTATAATATCATATTTACATTTTTGTTGTAAGATTTATTAATTTTTTTATTACATTGACAGGATATCATATAAATTATTATTTATTATTATCAAATTCTCCCTATGATTACATTTACTGTATATTACATTATATTATTATATAATCACTGATGTCCACTATACTTTTCTTTTCACCCTCTCACAAAAGACAGATACATATGATTCCATCACATATAAACCTCGTAAAACACACACATAAATCAGAGACACATATACACATCTATTCTTTTCATTTGTACGTCTCTATAACTTATTTGTTTTTATTGTCATTGCCATGTCTGTACATTATATGTTCCCCTCGTGTCACACGTGTTTTTGTTTCTGTTCCACTGATGTGGAGTTGTACTGATAGTGTGTCACGTCACTGACTCTCTCTGTGTTCGTGTGTGTGTCCCTCCTCAGGATAAGCTGTTTCCTCAGGCCATCGACTACCTGCAGAGGGCCTTCAGTGTGAGGCGCAGGGTGGGGCCTGTGCTGCTCAGCAGGTAAGTGGCCCCTCCCACCACCACAGAGTGTTAAACTACAGCTAAGGGCCTCATGCCAGAACCAGTCAGGACAACACATTAAGAAATGTAGGAAATCTTCTTACATTTATCTTCCAGAGTTTTCTCTCGGGTACAGACTCGGAACAGTGTACAGAGATTTAGAATTAGAAAACTAAAATATTCCTGCGTGAGGCTCGTTGTCTGGTTTCAGCTCTGGATGCTGTTCCAAACCCTCAAACAAGGTCTCCAGAGTGTCGATTTAATTTCAGTCTTTGCTGCTGGGTGGGAAGGTGGACGTTCAGAATCATTTTCCCGCCTCTAGTTCCTCCATCGTTTCTAACCTCGGCGAAGAGTTAATGTAACGCCGTTGTCTGTTGTCTGCGTTTCAGACAATGTGCGACCAACCAGTACCTGAGGAAGAGAGATGACCCCCATCGCTACTGCCAGGGCGCCTGTGCAGACGTCACCCGCTGCGGCCCCATCATCGTACCACAGCACCACCTGCAGGTAAGGAAGAGCCACTGCACATACACACAGATAATGGATCATGTAATAACATGCTAGCAGCCCTGAGAGGGTGTATCGGGGTGAAGAGGAGGAGGAAGAGGAAGAGGGGAAGACTGGGATAAAGAAAGAAGGAAGGGGGGGAGGTAGGAGGACAGGAGGTGAAGACAGACAGAAAGTTAATCTCATTAAGGTTATTGTTGATGTTGGGCAGGAGGTAATCATAGTGTGTCTGCTGTTACTGCTCAACATGTGAAGGTACAGCTTTTCAGAATAAAAGACACGTGCAGAGTTCATCACTTTTCATCACTGTTTTTTTCCCTCTCAGCAATGCAAGGTGTGCAGCGAGTCTGGGAAGTCATGTGGCCCCTCGGGACCCCCAGATGGTCCCGGAGTGGAGGGGTCCGACTTTGTGCTCTACGTCAGCGGGATCACCACAGAGCGCTGCGGACAGGAGAACATCGTGGCCTACGCTGCGTACTGCCAGCTGGAGGCGGAGCTGGACAGGTGAGAGGACCATGTGACCTTTACAGCTCTGTTTCTAAATCTCTGTGTTCAGCTTTGACTCTGAATCTCTGGAGTTTTGTTTCACTCTTGTTTCCCAGTGGTACCTTCAGGTAGCAGCCTCGTTTCAGCTGCGATGAAGGAGCTCTTGACCTCTAGTAGCGCTGTGGAGTAGTTTTTTTTTTTTTTCTTTTTACACACCACAGATGTCCTCATGCAACACTTTCCACCGGTGAATCAGCGACAGGCTTTTATTGTGAAGGAGCTACACTCATTGGCTGCTTTATCAAGAACACCTGTACAACTACACCTCAAGGAAATGTAGTCCAGTTCAACACCACCTTTAACTCTGACCTCAGTAATAAACAGAGACAATTCTCCACACTGTAAACATCACAGGGACTCGGCTGTTGTGTGGACTGTGTTTATCATCTAGTACATACACTAAGCTTGTGTGTGTATGTGTATGTATGTGTGTGTGTGTGTGTGTGTGTGTGTGTGTGTGTGTGTGTGTGTGTGTGTGTGTGTGTGTGTGTGTGTGTCTTCCAGACCTGTAGCAGGCTATGCTAACCTGTGTCCTGCCATGATCTCCTCCCAGCCTCAGGAGTTTGAGGGGATGCTCTCCACCGTCAAGCATGAGATCATCCACGCTCTGGTCAGTGCAGCTAATGAAGCTAACCCCTAACCCTGACTGGATTTACTGGTGTTTAACTGTGTTTAAGGTTCATGCTTTTACAGCTTCACACAGACTGACTCAGATTTCAAAGGGTTATTCACACCAGGATTCATCCAAACACACGTGTCAAGACGGCTAGTCGGTGAACAGCTGTAACTGGCATGCTAACTGCGAACATGCTAGTGCTAATCTGTCACGTGCTGTTCCTCCTTTGTCCACCAGGGGTTCTCAGCCGGTCTGTTCGCCTTCTACCACGACAATGACGGCAAACCTCTGACCCCTCGCTTCGCCAGCGGCCTGCCCGCCTTCAACGAGAGGTGAGTGCTGTCTTTGAGACGTCACCTCCTCCTCCTCCTCCTGCTGCTGAGGGGAAACACCCAGACTTCAGAGTCCAGCTGATTCACAGCTGTTTGACTTTAACACACGAGAACTCTAATAAAAAGTGATGTCAGCGTTTACTTTCCATGTTCATCAGGGTTTTATACCAAAAAGACAAAAGAGGGAAGAACATCAAACTTCCTCTGGATGGAGTGCCTGGAGGTCAAAGGTCGTTTTCATTCATAAGGATGTGTGTCTGTCTGTCTGTCTGTCTGTCTGTCTGTCTCTCTCTCTCTCTCTCTCTCTCTCTCTCTCTCTCTCTCTCTCTCTCTCTCTCTCTCTCTCTCTCTCTCTCTCTCTCTCTCTCTCTCTCTCTCTCTCTCTCTCTCTCTCTCTCTCTCTCTCTCTCTCTCTCTCTCTCTCTCTCTCTCTCTCTCTCTCTCTCTCTCTCTCTCTCTCTCTCTCTCTCTCTCTCTCTCTCTCTCTCTCTCTCTCTCTCTCTCTCTCTCTCTCTCTCTCTCTCTCTCTCTCTCTCTCTCTCTCTCTCTCTCTCTCTCTCTCTCTCTCTCTCTCTCTCTCTCTCTCTCTCTCTCTCTCTCTCTCTCTCTCTCTCTCTCTCTCTCTCTCTCTCTCTCTCTCTCTCTCTCTCTCTCTCTCTCTCTCTCTCTCTCTCTCTCTCTCTCTCTCTCTCTCTCTCTCTCTCTCTCTCTCTCTCTCTCTCTCTCTCTCTCTCTCTCTCTCTCTCTCTCTCTCTCTCTCTCTCTCTCTCTCTCTCTCTCTCTCTCTCTCTCTCTCTCTCTCTCTCTCTCTCTCTCTCTCTCTCTCTCTCTCTCTCTCTCTCTCTCTCTCTCTCTCTCTCTCTCTCTCTCTCTCTCTCTCTCTCTCTCTCTCTCTCTCTCTCTCTCTCTCTCTCTCTCTCTCTCTCTCTCTCTCTCTCTCTCTCTCTCTCTCTCTCTCTCTCTCTCTCTCTCTCTCTCTCTCTCTCTCTCTCTCTCTCTCTCTCTCTCTCTCTCTCTCTCTCTCTCTCTCTCTCTCTCTCTCTCTCTCTCTCTCTCTCTCTCTCTCTCTCTCTCTCTCTCTCTCTCTCTCTCTCTCTCTCTCTCTCTCTCTCTCTCTCTCTCTCTCTCTCTCTCTCTCTCTCTCTCTCTCTCTCTCTCTCTCTCTCTCTCTCTCTCTCTCTCTCTCTCTCTCTCTCTCTCTCTCTCTCTCTCTCTCTCTCTCTCTCTCTCTCTCTCTCTCTCTCTCTCTCTCTCTCTCTCTCTCTCTCTCTCTCTCTCTCTCTCTCTCTCTCTCTCTCTCTCTCTCTCTCTCTCTCTCTCTCTCTCTCTCTCTCTCTCTCTCTCTCTCTCTCTCTCTCTCTCTCTCTGTCTCTCTCTCTCTCTCAGCCTGGGTCTGTATCAGTGGAGTGAGGCGGTGATCAGGAGGGTCAGCAGGCTGTGGGACATCAGAGGAGGGGTGATGGTGCGGCACCAGGTCCACGTCCTCGTCACTCCTCGTGTCGTGGTGAGAAGCTCTTTGTGTTTGTGTTTGTCGCCGTTTCTTTCTGAGTGAACTTTGATTAAAGTTCATAAACAGAGGGAGTGAGATCTGAGCTCTGTTATTAACATACAGCCTGGAGCGAGTCGGAAAGTCCCTGGGACAAGATACTGAATCCAAAAGTGTGTGTGTGTGTGTGTGTGTGTGTGTGTGTGTGTGTGTGTGTGTGTGTGTGTGTGTGTGTGTGTGAGAGAGAATTCTGAGAAAAGCTTTCTAAAAAAAAAAAAAAAGAAAAGAAAATCCTGCTTATACCTCTAATGAGGTAATTACCTCAATAATTCAGAAAAACTCAATCATCTGTTTTTCTGAATTAAATCAGAAAAAGATTTTTTTGAGAAAAGTTTTCTTAAAAAGAAAAAAAAAAGATTCCTGATTCCTTTTTTTATTTGTAAGAAAACTTTTCTCAAAAAAAACCCTGTTTTTTTTTAAATTATCTCAGAAATCTGAGATAACGATCTTGTTAATTCAGAAAAACAGCTGATTTGATGTTTTTAAGTGAATGCATTACGCTTCTGTAATTTACATGAGACGCTTCTGTTAAACTCTCTGATCCACAACTTCTCTATTGTCCTTTAAAACACACAGTTCATTCAGTGGCTGCATGTTTTCATCATCAGTTAGTCTGCACTTCATCGTTTCATCGTTCTGTCAGAAACAATGAAAGTGTGTTGTTGTCTGTGGTCTCAGGACGAGGCGAGGAGACACTTTAACTGTCCCATCCTGGAGGGGATGGAGCTGGAGAACCAGGGCGGGACGGGGACAGAGCTGAACCACTGGGAGAAGAGACTGCTGGAGGTCACCTGTCTCTCTGTCTGTCTGTGTCTCTGTCTGTCTGTGTCTCTGTCTGTGTCTCTGTCTGTCTGTGTCTCTGACTGTCTCTGTGTCTCTGGTTTAGTTTGTGGTTCCTCCTTGTTCTCATCATCATCCTCTTCTTCTTCTCCTCCTCAGAACGAGGCGATGACGGGCTCCCACACCCAGAACCGGGTGTTCTCTCGGCTGACGCTGGCCATCATGGAGGACAGCGGCTGGTACCGAGCCAACTACAGCCTGGCTCAGAGGCTGGACTGGGGCCGCGGCCTCGGCTGCGACTTCGTCATGAAGAGCTGCAAGTTCTGGATGGACCGGCAGAGACAGAGGTCAGTGACACCAGACCAGAGTCCGGTCAGTGTGTCTATGCTCCTGATCCGAGTCCTTTAATATATCTGTATCTCGCAATCAATCAATCAATCAATCAATCAATCAGAATACTTTATTGATCCCTAGGGGGAAATTAGGTTACATTACAATTGCTCTCTCAAGAATGGAAATGTAACAGCAAAGAGTAGAGAATAAGAGGTAAGATAAAAGAAAACATAAATATAAAAATCAAAATATGTCCTTACACTATGATATAGGACAAATGTATATATAGATCTATCTATCTATCTATCTATCTATCTATCATCTATCTATCTCTATATATAGAGAACTAGATCTATAAATAAGAAATAGGTGATAGTTCAACTATACAACATAAATATAAATACAGTTGAAAATTGAACTTGTCTGAAACAACAGTAGAATAACTGCACAGAGAATAGAAGTTTGTGTTGTTATCAGCTGCTTGATTATTGATTTATTATTGATATGAATGAAAGCTGTTATGGAGAAAGTGACATGACACGTCATGTGCACAGAGGTGTGACAGAGTGACGCTTCTTCTGTCACACATGATCTTTGGCTGAGTTCAGACACTTGAACCCAAGACATCCTGAACTCTGATCTGAACTGACTGTCAGTGAGCGGCGCCCTCTGCTGGTGACTGCTACAGAAACAGCTGCTCGTCAGTCTCTGATCTGATTATCTGTATTTGTGTCTGATGTGGAGTCTGTAGAATAAAATCTGGTTCTGACTCTCTGTGATGTTTGTGTTTGTTGTTGTTGTCGTCGTCATCGTCGTTACAGGCGTCACGCTGTGACTCCGTACTGTGACACGGTGCGAGCGTCTCCTCTGCAGCTCACCTGCAGACAGGACCAGCTCGCAGTGGCCGTCTGCAACCTGCAGAAGTACCCACAGGAGCTGCCGCTGGAGTACCAGGTACAACACACACACACACACACACACACACACACACACACACACACACACACACACACACACACACACACACACACTGTCTATAAAGTAGTAGTAAAGAATGTCCAAGATGTCCTCAAATAACAGTAAAAACCTAGAGATAAGTGTCAATATACCACATGTAATTTTGTGTGTGTGTGTGTGTGCGTGTGCGCGCGTGCGTGTGCGTGTCAGTACTTTGAGCGTGTCCCAGATGTGGCGGCTGACCAGCTGTCGTTCTTCGGTGGAGCCGTGGAGATCGCTGACTTCTGTCCCTTCAGTCAGGAGTTCAGTTGGCACCTGAGTGGAGAGTATCAGAGGAACTCGTACTGCAGAGTGTCTGAGAACCAGCCAGGTAACCCCCCCCACTCTGCTGCTGCCGTCTACACCTGAGATAGTGAGGGGTCAACGACCTCCAACCAACAGCACACATCATCGTCATAAACATCAAATCATCTCAAAAAGAGCTGATACTGTTACTGAGATGATCTTCCCTGTGTGTGTGTGTGTGTGTGTGTGTGTGTGTGTGTGTGTGTGTGTGTGTGTGTGTGTGTTCAGACTGGTGGAGGAACTATGGGGCGGAGCAGTATGGACCGGACTCTGTGTGTCTGTACCAGAAGTCGGCGTTTGTGATGGAGCAGTGCACCAGGAAGATGACGTACCCTGACTGGGGCTCCGGCTGCTACAAGGTGCTGTCACTCACCTGTCATTCACCTGTACTGATCACCTGTCAGAGAAGAAACATGAGTCCAAACTTGTACTCATGATACAGCTGTGGTTTATTTTTCAATGTGATGACATAAAAAGTAACAGAGCATTAACATGTGACCCCCCAGGTGTGGTGCTCGGCTCAGGGCCTGACGGTGTTCGTTCAGGATCGCTCCTTCCTGTGTGTTCGTAAAGGTCAGCTGCTGAGTGTCAGCGTTCGGGTCAACGACTGGGTTTATAACGGCGTCCTGATATGCCCCGCCTGCACCGACTTCTGCGACGACTGCCCCCTTCCCCACCAGCTGCCCCCCATCAACACCTCCAGGAGTAACCCCATCGGTCGGTGCCATTCAATCATTCAATCATCATTGATCCCCAAGTGATTATTATCATCATTTTAACATGTCCAAGAAAAAGTTGTGATCACATGTTGGCCAAATGTGGCATTAGAAACTTTAATGACTGAAAGCTAAAAGCTAAGCTAACACATTTCAGTGTCTATTTTTAAGTATAATTTTTCCTTATTTTACTTTATTGTATTTAATTGTAAAACTTCCTGTTTTTGTCCTGATGAAACTGCACGGACTAAAGACCAGGTCCTGGTGCTGATGTCATCACCGTTAAATATATATGAAGATACTTTTACACGTATTGTATGTAACACTAACACTGACTGTCCTCTTCTGTCATGTGAGGCTCATTCAGTAGATTTATCTTCCTGCTGCAGATTTTCACTGTGGATTTTTGAGAGTGACTTAGAGTGTTGTGTTTGATGATGAAGGTGGATGAAGACTGATGATGCTGTTTGTTTGTTTGTTTGTTGCAGACCCCTGCTCCAGTTCTCCAGGTCTGGCCATCACTCTGTGGCTCCTGCTGCTCAACCTGCTCCCCCTAGTGGCCGGACTGCTGCTCTGCCACTGCAGCTGATCACACGCACACACGCACACACACACACACACACGCTAAGGTAGCTGGACATGTTACTGTCCTAAACACTCAGTCCTCTGTGGACTGCAGACTTTTCTTCTCCTTCTTTCCTTCCTTCCTTTGTTCCTTGTTTCCTTTTCTTTCTCCTTCATTCCTTCCTCAGGACCTCCACTCTTTCATTCCTCTTCTCTCCCTTCCTCAGTTCATTTCATAAACGACACAAGGACAGACTGTATCTTCGTCAGGGATCTTTGTGCTGAAGTTTCAGCCCGGTGCAGCGAACACTTCGTCCTCTGGATCCTTTGCTTTTTAATATCACATCGTTTCTCTGGACTGGACCTGAGGACTGGACCCTCTCTGTCTGTCTGTCTGTCTGTCTGTCTGTCTGTCTGTCTGTCTGTCTGTCTGTCTGTCTGTTGGCTCGAGGTGCAGCAGAACACCTGGTGGAGTCTCTGTGGTTTGGGATCAGAGTAAAGAGACGTGAGACTGAAGACCACGAGGACCAGATCTCTCTCAGATCCTCCAGACCAGCACTGCAGGACTGTGCGTGACAGTTGAAGTGTGAGTGCGACTTTCCGGCTTTAAAGCTATTTTTCCTCGTGCTTTTAAGCTGAAAGAGCCGTCTCCTTCCTCTCCTTCGCCTTCTCCTTCTTCTTCTTCTTCCTCTGACTGAACCACCATGAGGACCTCTGCTGTGTGGCGCCCCCCGCTGGCAGCAGGAGGTAACTGATCTGTTTTTTGTTTTTTAAGTCTGAAGGATCTTTTATCTGAAAACTTGTACTGTAAATATGAATGACACTGTCCTGTTCTTTAGAGGGGGAGGGGTGAGGGTGGTGGAGGAAGTTTCCCAGCATCCTCCGGACACGTCACCTGAGTTTAAATTATTTACTAAATTTCATGTCCCGACAAAGACAAACAGAAATCTTAATGAGAGTCCTGCACTGGCTAAAATTAAACCAGATATATGTCATGTAATGGTTGCATATATGAGGGAAGTCTTTACCCTGACCCTGACCCTGACCCTGACCCTGACCCTGACCCTGACCCTGACCCTGACACTGATCCTGACCCTGACCCTGACACTGACCCTGACCCTGACCCTGACACTGACACTGATCCTGACATCCAAGATCTGCTGGAGAGAAGACGGCTCACTCTGTTGGATTTACAGAGGTGTGACGTTCAGAGACACAAACCAACAACAGACAGGTTTCATTTAGTTGAGTCATTAAGTTAATGAATATTAATGTGTGACGACTGAAAGTGAGAAGCTGCTGCCTGGACGTCTTTGAAAACTGAGCTTTATTAATGATGATTAGCATCAAAGTTTTGGGTTAGTCTGCAGTTAAGTGCTGCAGTGTTGCAGCTGAATAAACGCAGGAAAGAAACAATGAAGGATCAGATTCTGATCAGCTTTATTTTAGCCAGTACCGGACCTTTAAATACGACCACAGCATGGAAACATCCGATTGGCTCAGGACGTCTGTTGAACACACAGAGAGCAGCCACTAGGAGGACGCTGCTCAGGTTTATGAAACTCTGAGTTTCTTAAACCTGAGTGGAGCAGTTTCTCTCCGTCTCCTCCTGCTGGTCAGAACCATGGCGGACATCAGATCTTTTCTACTGTCACTGTGTAGAGGATCTGATGACTTCCTCCTCCTCCTCCTCCTTTGTCCCAGTAACAGACACTGTGGTTTCTCAGACTGAAGGACGTTTGGGAAACAGCAGGAATCACATGGTGCTGAATATTCAAACATTGAAAATATAATGAAATACATTTTAAACAGTTTTATTACAAACAGATGTTCAACAGCTGTTGATCATTTCTGTACTGAAGGAAACACCTGAGCTTTGTGGACTAGCTCTGCTTGTTCTTCAGGTTGGTGTTGGAGCTTCACTAACGTCTGATTGAGTTCAGCTGCTGAAGCCGAATGAGGCTGATGAGTGTGAATGCAGGAGTTCGTGTGTCATGTGACTGCGTTCATGTCGGAGGGAAGATGTGTGTTTGTTTGTGTTGTCATGGAGAGGTAACGACACATGATCTACAGTCAGCTGGTTTCTCTCTGTTCATTCATCTCCTCTGTTTTATAGTATGAAGGACAAACAACAAACGAATAATTAAATACATAAATAAATGTAAAATACATACATTTCAGTCATGAAAAATTCTATTTCTGTATTTCTACATTTATTTATATATTTCTGTGTATTTATTTACTCATTAAGTATAGTATATATTTATTTATAATTAATAAGGAAGGACCACCTACCTAATTAACATACGGACACAGAAATATATAAATAAAATGTAGAAATACAGGAATAAATATAGAAATGTAAAAATAATACATATACATTTTGGTAATGATAAATGCCATTTTTGTATTTTTACATATATTTATTTATTTATCCAAGTTATTAAGTATGTGATATATTTATTAATTAGGTAGGACCACCTACCCAATTAACAAACGGACACAGAGATACATAAATGTAGAATTGTAGAAAAAGACGATTACATAAATGTAAAATAAAGGCATTTTGGCAAGATGCTATTTCTGTATTTTTACACTTATATTTATTTATGTATTTCTTCATTTATCTGAGAACATTATATATTTGTTTATTATTAATTAGGTAGGCTAATTAAGATATGGACACAGATAGATAAATGTAGACTTTTAGAAATGAAGGACTAAATAAATAAATAACAATAAATAAATAAAAATATGTAAATATATGCATAAATAGATAAATGTAAAAATACAGACATAGCATTTTTCATTACCAAAATAATAATTAATTTGGGCATTTATGTTTTTAATGATTAATTTCTTTTATTTATTCATCCTCTTTCTCATTTTTTGTCCTTCATATTATAGAAGTGATTATTTGAAAAAACACTCATGTTTATGACAGAATCAGAAAATAGTAAGTAGACCCTTGAGTTGAGATCTCTTCACCTCTCCTGTAGCGCAACCATCAGGACAAAATCTGAATCTAACTGGCAGGAACACGTTCATTTTCTCCAGAGGATGAACCCTCAAACCCGTACCGTCAACTGAAAGCTTCGCTGATAGTTGTGTGTTAGCGCTGTAGCTATGCTATGCTAGCGGAAAGATGGAATTACATGTTGGAGTTTTCAGACCAAACAAAAGTAATTAAAGAAAATCAGTTCATAATAAAAACAGTAAAGAAGATGTTAAAGTAACAGTCTCAATGATCTGTGTCGTGATCGTTGGCGACACCTGTGGTCGTACACGGTAACTGCAGGTTTGTTTTTCAAGCTCACGCTCGTCACTGTCTCTGTGACTCGTGTTCCTTGTTCCTTTGTGGACGATCTTGGAGACTGTCACTTTAAAAGAATCATTGTGTGTTATTATTCGTCAGTTTCCTGAATCGCTCATTGTGGCGTCAGTTTTGGACTGAAACTCTTCTGTGGTTCTGTAGAGCAGCTCGTTCAGTTTCACTCTGTGTTTACACTAAACCAGAAGAACTGGCCTTAAAGTGACATGAAGAACACAGTGTTTATTAAAACCCATCAGGGGAGTCGGGTCCATGGTCTTTGAGATGTTTCAGTCATGTGACTGAGCTGAAGCGTCAACAGGAAGTTGAGCGATGAACAAAGTGAACTGCTGATTTAAAAACAAACATGTTGATGTTTACAGTTGAGACTCTTGTAGTTTATCTGACATTACTGTGATGCTTCATGCTGTAGAGTTTGTGTCTGTCCACATTTTATTTTGTTCAACTCGTCTGTCTGCAGGAGGTCGTCTTTTTATCGTATTTATTTTATTCTTACGAAGATGTTCGATGTGAAGTTGCACTGAGCTGAGAAAATCTTGAGTTTGAAAGTGAAGATATGTTTGGAGAAATAATTTGATGCAGTTGTGAGTCCTTCAGTGATCAGCTGATCTTTGTTGTTTTTATTTTGTGTGTTTTTTAGAAAAAGGGCTGCTTTTTAAGACAAATCAAGACTGTCAAAATAAAATGCATCTGTATCCCAGAGACGTCCGTGTTCTGTCATTTTTAAAACGGTCAAAAATCAAATATAATCACATAAATTCAATGTATTTATTTTAATACGACTCTGGATAACTAGTCTGAGTGGCGGAGGGATACGACCACGAGGAGGTGATTCTGGTTCCTTTTTTTAAAAACTGGTGTGATATTTGCAGTGTGTTGTGTCCTTCACATTGTTTGATTGGGCACTGAAACGCCATTTTCCACAGATAATCCTTGTGCGAAGCCAGAATCTCTCAACATCTGGTTTTAAATGCAAAGTTGTGTAAATAGTGAATCGTGTCTGGCGTCATTGTTCGACCATGACCACTTTTAACATGTTTTCACATGTTAAATTAACATGGTTTTTCTGTAAGGGTAAATTCCTGCAGGATTTTCACAGCTCTTTGATATCGACTGAATGGACGAGGAAATGAAACGACTTACAGTTAAAGTCATCTCAGGTCATGGAACTGCAAACACACATTCTCCTTAACTGGGTCAGTTTGTCAACCGTCTGAACCCTGAAAGGTCTAATCTTGTCTAAACAGCCACAATCGTTTCATCTCAAGTCAGTGCATCACAGAATGATGGGAGGACGGCAGGTGCTGATTCTCACATCAGTGTGTGGTGACGGCGGAGTTTGGGGACATAAAAACCCCCGATCAGATCGTCTAGATCAGAAACTTCACAGCGACACAGTATCGGTACGTACACAGCTTCATCCTACTTTTATATCTTTATATAACCTCTCCTACTGACACTGCATATAGGTTAAAGTGAGAATAGACAATTTAAGTTTTAACCTAACATGAAGTTAATGTTGGTTGCACAATGTAATGGCTATAGAGTGACATCATCAGCGTTTTGTCTGGCATGAAATATTGCAGAAAAATTAGGTTCAATTCACGACACTAACAAAGTGCGTCTGCCACTACACAACCAAATCAGAAAAAGGACCGTGCAAAACTTAGGGGCAGCAGCTAACTGCGTATTTCAGGGAAATACAAATGCTAAACTTGACATAAATCCTCCTTGGGTATCTCTCTTTTGATAAAACACGTTAGCCACTCGAAAGTTCAAGATGGCCGTCATTTCTGACAAGGATATGTTCATCCACTATTTTCTCATGAATAATCCAGTGTCAAACATTTTAACATAGAAGGTGAAATTTAATACACTGTAAAAAATTAAACGAAAGTGTATTTCAGCAAAAATATTACTCACAAAAAAGCTTGCTAACTAGCCTGGAGCTTGCAAGTTAGCCTAGCACTGCCAAGTTAGCCTAGCCAGCTAATGTTAAGATAAGTAAACAAGTAGACTGTCGACTCTTTTTGGTTCATCATTCATAATAAATGGTTTGTAAATACATTGTGTTTTATGCAGAATTTATTTTCACATTACATGTTAAAAATTGCACAAATGAAGCTCTGAGGAAATCTGGGTAAAATTCTGCTTGTGTTTCCTGTGCCAGAAATGGCGGCCATCTTGAAATTTTGAAAAGTTGGGGAAAGGTTCGTCCCTTTGGCCAGTCCAGTTATTTAGAGATCTCCAGGTGTTGAGAGGGATCACTACCGGTTCTATTAATAGGGTTATGGTTAGATGTTGGGTTCGGCTTTGACCCACTCGCACAAATCGGGTAAAGACACAGCGACGCTGCCATTAATACCACTTGGCTGTAAGAAAAGTTGTCTATTGCCATGTTGACTAAACTTGATGCATGAAAATAATTGGAATGAGTTCATGAGTAAATTCTCTCTTTCTGCAGGTTTGAAAATGAGACTTTCCGTCCTTTTTCTCGTTGCGATCTCTATGGCGTTGGCCGGTAACCGTTCACCTTTCTTTTGTGCCTTTATATTTGTGCAAGTATATATCTAGCATTTTATTTTGAATTTAAAGGTGATTGATGAATCATTTAAATCATTGTTTCATGCAGCAAACTGAATCTTTGGATTTTGGACATATAAAGACATTACCATGGGGTCTCGTAGTAACGGACAAACCTCTTGTCTCTCAGGGAGTGTTACCATAAAGAGCTTGGTGTTTCCCGCTCAGACGAGCACCAGTTACACGGAGCTGGTCCCTCTGAGGCCCTTGAACGTGAACGCCTTCACCCTGTGCATGCGTGTGGCCACGGAGGACAGCTCACAGCGAGACATGATTCTGTTCGCTTATAGGACCGAAAGCACTGATGAGCTGAACGTGTGGCGGGAAGTGGGCGACTGGTGAATATCATATTCTGGATTTCAGATAATATTAAAGATTTAAGATATTTTCTGACCATGTTCTATTAAAGGCCAATAACGGCCATGTTTTTGATGTGATTTGATTTAGTTAGTCCCTCTGAAACTGTTTTATATGTGTGTTTAGGTTGTCATTGTACCTGACTTCAAGTGGAGATGGTGTTTATTTCAAAGTCCCTGTGCTCGGGGCCCTGGAGACTCACCTGTGTGTCACCTGGGACGCCAGTTCAGGTGCGGTTGCCCTCTTCCTGAATGGGAGGAAAAGCTTGTTCAAAATCTACAGGAAGGGTCACGTTCTCCAATCTGGAGGCAGGGTCATCCTCGGACAAGATCTAGACAGTATGTCGGGGGATTTTGATGCCAGTCAGAGTTTTGTCGGGGAGATCTCTGATGTGAACATGTGGGACTCTGTCCTCTCAGCCAGCACCATCCAAGACCTGTACTCCGGGATGAGAGCACCAAGAGGAAACATCTTCGACTGGGAAACAGCTGTGTTTGACGTGTATGGGCAGGTAGAGGTTGTTTCTCGTGAGCTGTAGATTTAATGCTCACACACAAACATGCAGGAATAATGTGGGAAATGTAGCTACAACTGTGAAGTCACAGCCATGAATTCATTTCTTACTTCAAATTAAAGTCCTGCTGTAATTCTTCAGTCCAATAAAACTTGCATTGATGATTCCTGTTGTGGTGTAATATATATCACATGATAATGTCAAACTCAGACAAATACAAAGGTGCAGTAGAGTAGTTATTTCCATGTGTTGAATACACCAAGTCATCTTTAGCTCAGGGTTTAAGGTAATATGTCCACTGCACTGATTTTCAGCCTTGTCTCAGCTCTACTGTTGTGAGAGACACACACACTTACAAGAAAAACTCGAACCACCACCTGGAAGTCAGTGATGAGCATGCTGCACAGTAAGACCAGGAAACACTGGTCTGATTGTGTTGTATCCTTCTTTCTAATGACAACTCTACACTCAGATGAACGGAGCCTGACAAACGTGGATGTGTTGTCACAAAAGACAAGTTCTCGGTATAAGAAGGAATTTGTTATTTGAACCTTCCAGATGGAAGCTCTAATTTAAAGGTCATGACATGTATTTATTCATTCATGGGACCCTGCAGTGAGCAGGACTCTGGTCTCCTGGCTGCAGCTGAGCAGCTCGTTACCGACCATTAACAACAGCTGCTGATCTTAATTGGTCTGTTAAATAAAATCCACTCAGCTGGAACTTTAACGGCACCGTTAGAGTGTGTTTGGCTCTAATATTAACATGCTTTTAAACAGTGGAACACTAAGTACTAATTGTGCAACGTGCTGTAGAGATTTCACATCATTAGAGGTTGAATTAAATATCTCACTTTAATGGAGAATTTGATTATAAAATAAAAGGCATTTCTTTTCTCTGTGTCCAGACTCAGTTAAAAAAGTCAAAATGACTAATGTCTAATAATATCCAGATAATCCGTCCTCTGGTATCTGAGACTAACGTCCCTCCTGCTGGAGGTCAGGTCAGGTCTGCTCTGCCGTCTCTTTGATCCACAGGAAGCCGACCTGGGTGCCGAAGTTGGGTCCATCTCTGACGTGGGAGAAGAAGAGTTCGGGGTGACAGGAAGTGCAGGGCGTCACAGAGGGCCGGTCCGTCACCGTGTCATCGTGGATGTGTTCAGGCAGGATCCCGCCTTTCTGGAGGAGGATTCTGGGGCAGGAATTTGATGTAATTAGATGATTAACACACCTTTACACTGACTATAAACTGGTCTGCTTTAACACCACCTCAGTCCCAGAGACTCAGAGACTCAAACAGTCCTTTTGGGATCTGTACCCAGCGTTGAACAGGTGGGAAAGTGAAACTCATTAGGATTCAAGTAAAACCTGAAAACAGCGAGCCCTTTGTGTTTACTCCGCCCTCCTGGTCTGTACCTGTTGGCGAGGCGGATGTCGACATGTGGTCTGACGGACTCTGGGTCGGGGACACAGTCCGGGTGGATGCTGATGAAGCCCCGCGCCTCCTCTCTTTCCCTGGTGAAGCAGCACGCCCCCACCGATGGTCCCACCGCCACCACGATGTCGCTCACCTTGCACCCGAACTCTGTTACCATGGCCTCCACCGTCGCCATAGCAACCCCCATCAGGGTTCCTCTCCAACCTGAGGACGAGTAGAAAAAGTGATCAGGGAGAACGGAGGATCCTGAACATCTCTAACATCACAAACGACTGAAACATCCACCTGCGTGAGCCGCGCCGATGACCTTTGACACCGGATCAGCAAACAGGATCGGCATGCAGTCGGCTCCCGGAGCGGCTACAACCACCCCGGTCTGATCGGTTACTATCCCGTCGTAGCTCTCGGGCTCAGCTTTCCCCAGAACCCACACGTCGCTGCCGTGGTTCACCTGCAGGAAACAAGAGGATTCACACGTCTGCACCAAGTCTACGGCCTCATTCAGGACGACTCGCGCACAGTCCTTCCAGTACCTTGACCAGGTGAAGTGGCTTGGGGTGAAACCCGGCATGGAGGGCCAGTCGGCGTCTGTTCTCCGCCACCACGGCCCCGGGGTCCCGCCTCCCTCTGCTGCTGAACAGATTCATGGAGGACAGCGTCGGGGCGTAGGACACACCGCCTGAACGAGTACTGAAGCCGTGACCGAAACAGTCTGACAGAGACACAGAGAGAAGGATGTTTCACACAGTCACACCGATATCCATTCAACTAGAATCACCTCCTCACGGTCGTATCCCTCCGCCACTCAGACTAGTTCAAGGCTAACCTGTTTATCCAGAGTCAGAGAAGATATTAACCATTGGTGCGACTCTTGAGTCTTGAGTAATGGCTAAAAGGTGTTTTGTGAGGTCACCACGCCCGTGACCTTTGACCTTTGACCCCCAAAATCTAATAAATTCATCCATGAGTCCTGGTGAGTGTTTTTACCAGTTCCATCAAGGTGTTCTGAGATATCGTTTCTATAGATTTGATATATCATATTATACTGACAATATATTATTAAAATAAATGCAGCTTTGTGGAGAAAGAACAGGAGACTTACTCCATACGTACAGACTCTTACAAATGAAGTCACATGAGAAGAAAAGCATAATTAAACTGGGGTCTAGTTGAATGGAGTTTGGTGTGAGTTCCTCTGAGGCTCTAACACGTTGGTTGTACCTGAATGAGTTTCATAAAAGTTTGAAATAATAACATGAAAAACAGAAAAGCAGCAAATCCTGACATTTAGTTATTTATCATAATAAATCAATATTTTTGATAAATATTTCTTAATGTATGAATGGATGGAGTTTGGTATTGGCCTCATTATTCAGTTGTACTGGGTTTATAATTTACTAATTACTAATTATTACTAATAATAAAATATACAGTTTGGATTTGATCAGATTTGACATTTGATTTACTCCTAATATTCCTGTGTATTTTAATTAAACTGACCTGGGATCAGTGTTGACGTCAGCACCGTGACGTCTCCCTTCAGCGCAGGTAACTGCTGCAGAAACACGGACACTTCTTCTTGGACTCCTTCACCAGGTGAGCCCGTGTGGGCGGAGCCTGAGCAGCTCGGACAGGTGAGGTTGTCCACTGACCTCACTTTATAATCGAACGTGTACGCGGCTGTGAAAAGCAGCTGCTGGTACCGAACCAGAACCTCCCGGCCCTGCGGGGTCGTGAGAACCGTCACGGAGCTCAGGTCCCGCCGGTCCACGGTCTGCTTGAGGCGGTACAAACACTCCGCGGTGGAGTCCGAGTCCAGGACCTGAGCGCTCCTGCACGAGCTCAGAAACGGGTGGTTGTCCCGGTGACGCTTCCCGCTCAGCAGAAACACATGAGGTTCTGAAGCGGACTCCTCCAGCAGAGACGGGCCGGCGCAGGTCGGACAGCAGCCGTGAATCAGATCCAGCAGCACGGCCCGGGACATGTCGGACAGAGGACAGGTGAGAGGACAGGTGACGGAGGACACGGGACCGGTGAGGGTCCCGCTCTGTGACAGCTGTAATGAGCAGAAACTCCGGAGGACTCTGGCACTTCCTGTTTTGTGGCTCCGCAGCGTGGCCCCGCCCACACTGGAAACCCCTCACACACTGAGGAAACTCTCCTCTGATCGTTTCCGCCTCTTCTGCCGACGTCTGCACGAGGCTGCAGGTCAGTGACGTCACACTGAGTGTTCTGCACAAACACACGGACATGTATGAACTGAAGCAGCATGAAACAACATGACAGGAAGTACAATAACATTTCATAATAAAGTTACAAACGCATGCATGACTCATTTAAGCTAATACACGACTCAGTGGTTTAATGGATGAATTCATGTTTGTGTCTGAAGGTTTCATTAAAACACCTGAAGTTTTCTACTGAAGTGTGACACTGACTTCTCCTTAGCTGAGGGAGTTACTTAAGGCTGTTGAACAGAATCTTTTAAATTGTTTTCTTAGTTAAGGAAAACGTTAAGACATCTACTGTTTCCACGGAGACCGCTGATTTGCTGCCATTAGCACTTGTTGTGACATCACTTCTGGGAAACGACATTGAAGAAGTCGCTGCTCTCTTCCTCCTGTGGTTCAGAGTTCAGCAGGTCAGAGAGTTCGTTCAGTATCGGTTCAGCATTAAATCAGCAGATACTTGAACAGACGTAGGTTTGTGTTCTTCTCTCAAATGTGACTTTTCTCAGAGGAAAAAGTTCTTTACATTTGGAGTAAAATATCATTGGTTATAGAATAAATGACATTTTATATTTTACATTACAAACTCTTCTGCAGATTCATGCTCAGTTTAAATAATATGAATCTCAAACAATATATAAAGTAGTTAAAATTAGCTCCATCTCAGCTACAACAAGCTGCCTGTAAAACAATACGTTAGTACTAATGATTTATCCGTATGAAGGAACAGTCCTTTTACTTTTCATATTTCACAGTTTGGCAGCTCAGGTGCAACAAACAATGTTTTTATTTTTGGTGAATCTGTAGATTTTTTTAAATGATTAATTCTTAATTTTCTTTGTGTATAAAAATAATGAAATTAATTATATTAAGATATAAAACTCACAGATCAAAACCCAAAAATATTCAGTTTATAATGAAACAAAAATATATTTTTTGATTAAATAATTAATGATTATTAACATCGTCTGGATTTTGTTTCCACTTTATTTATTTTTTAATCTCATTGTGATCAAACCGCAAATTTACTTGGAGACAAATATGTTTGTTTGTTTTTTGTCCTAGAGACCTTGGCAGGAAGTCACCTGACTCAGTGACGCAGCTAAATGGAATGCAGCCCTGTTCAGTCTGATCAGCTCCACCTGTGCGTCTCCTGCTGTGGAAACATGAACATGCTTCCTTTGTGTTCCACTGTGTGTGAACAGGATTATACAGCCACATGAAGATGGACGATCCTCGGCACAGACGGATGTGGCTGAAAGTTCTGGGAAGAGCTGGTAAATGGACCTTGAGTTGAGAGGAAACTATATATATGGGTATATGGGTACCTGACAGTATAGATATATATAGTATGGAGATGCACATCACGGTCAGTAACAACTGTACTGTCGCTCACCCTGTCGTGTCATGTGACCTCTGTGTTCTGGGCTGAGAGAAAAAAAGTCACAAGGTTAAAAAGTTTGTGTCAAAATGTTAAAATAACAGGAAAAGTGAAATGTTCCTTTGACATTAACTGACACGAGAAAGTATGAAAACAGAAACATGGAGAGTGTCTGGAAAACATTATTAATACTAACACAAAATCTTTTCCATATTTCATCCACTTGGTCAAAGTTGAATAAACCGAGTTTTCTACAGTGACATTAAAGTCATTTATTAAATCAGTCCGCTCCTGAAAGGTCGAGCCTCAGGAAGAAACCAGCAGCTAGTGAAGGTTTGTTTTACAAGCTGAGATCAAAACACTGAAAACCAACAAGCTGAAAACATCATGTCTAATACATGTGTGTTTATATTGTACATGTCTGTAGGTTAATATATATCCAACACAAAGCCTGTCAACATGTGTTCATATATTTGAATATAAAAGATAAACATGCACATTAATGAATAACAATCATAAAATTAAACACTAACATAGACCGTGTGTGTGTGTGTGTGTGTGTGTGTGTCACACACCTGATGAACTGAGAATGGAGGAACTTCCCAGGGTTGTTGGTTGATGTCACATGACATTTCTACTGGTTGTACTTTTCTGATTGGCAGGAAGTGAAGCAGGAACAGAACAGTGTCTGACCTGTGTGTGTGTGTGTGTGTGTGTGTGTGTGTGCGTGTGTGTGTGTGTGTAGGTCGGAGCCAGTGACTCGTCAGGTTGATCAGATTTGTGGCTGATGTTTGTTTGGAACCAGATGTTCCTATGAACTCATGAGGATTATCTTCATGTAGCTGCTGCTGCTCAGACTGTTTGACCTCTGAACCACCAGCAGAGGACGCCAAACAGCCGGTCCACATGCGACCAGCTTCATCACAGTCCATGTGTCCTGAAGAGAAGACCACAGGACTGGTCCACTGTCCCCTCAGGCCTGAGACCTGAACCTCACAGACCTGACTGATGCTGCAGCAGCTCAGAACCATAGAAAGAGTGGGACAGCACTTCACGTTACCTTGACGGCGCCAAACAACTGGTGTTTGGGACTTTTTGATTCTGCTTTTTTTTTTATTCCCTCCCTTCATCTCGTGTATATTCATATTCATCATCATGTCATCACAGATACCTGCACACACTTCTGGCTGACGGTCTTTATATTCACATTCTTCTTTCTTGTAACGTCAACGTTCAGGTTCGTTCTTCTTCTCTCTTTTTCTTTTTCCCACTTATGACGATTGTTTAGTTTTTTTTCTGGTGACCTCATTAGCATAATCTCAGAGATATGGAGTGAGTCTTCTACAGTCAGTCTTCACACTGAGATTCCCTCTGATCCAACACAGACTCACTTATCTCTGCCTGAGAACTAGAACCACCTCCTGGTGGTCGTATCCCTCCGCCACTCAGACTAGTTCCAGGTTACATCCCTGTTTATCCAGAGTCTTGAGTAATGGCTAAAAAGTGTTTTGTGAGGTCACACTGACCTTGACCTTTGACCTTTAGCCACTAAAATCTAATGGGTTCCTCCCTGAGATGAAGAGACTGAATTTAACAGACCTGACACTGACTCTGTGGCGTTTCAGTCTGGTTGTAAGAACATGTTGAACAGTCTGTTTCCTGGTGTGTAACACTAATGTGATCATTCATCTCTTTGTATGATCAATAATCAATAATTCTAAATGTAGAATAAGTTCAACACGCCACAGTCTGTTTGTTCCATCAGAGCTGATGTGGAACCTGCCTCTTTATTCGGTGTGCACTGAACAATGTCGGTGCTGTGTCACAGTAAACTGACTCTGGATCTGTCTCAAAGCTGCCAGTGGCAAATCTCTACTACCTCCATTAGAGGGCGCCCTGGAGCCAATCAATCCACACAGATACATCAACATTACCTCTGTTCCATCTGGATCAGCCTCTGATGATCCATCACATCTTTACTGACGTCTGTGTCCCCACCTCTTCTGAACTCTCTGTTTCTGACGTTGTTTGTTGTTGTTGTTGTTGCTGTTGTTTGGTTTATTTACCTGTGAGCTGTTTGTTCAGCTGCTGGCAGACATGTTGTTTCCTGCAGCCTGAGTAATGACTGTCAGATCAGACTTTAACCACAAAGCTCCCGGAGTCTTTGTGTCATTTCGTTTTCGGCGTCTGGTGATGATGTAACTTCACAGGTCAAAGTCCTGCTCAGGCCACGGTGGTCGTAAACAAACAAACAAACAAACAAACAAACAAACAAAGTCCTTATGACAAATGTTCATCTCAGTTTCAGTTTCTTTTTGTTTTTCTAACTCCAGGTGAAATCATGTTTGTTTGTTTGTTTGTTTGTTTGTTTGTTTACAGTGAGTGAGGGACACAGTAGCTACAGTGATTGACAGCTGCTGTTAGCCTGTTAGCCGTGCTAACTCCTGCAGCTTCTGTTTACAACCCAGCCTTCGGCGTTTCCCGCCCCCTCCTGCTTCAGCAGAACACCGGACCGAGCTGATCCATCGCCAAACTATTGATGCTATTGATCGTCTTATTTTGAAAAAAACAAACAAACTGGATCCATCACATGTCAGCTCACATCCTGCCCAGACAGAAAAATTTAAAACCTCTGGCCCAGGTCTGGCCCACACACTTCCACATCTGGACAGATTCCAGCTGTTATCCTCCCGCTCTGATTTTCTGTGTGTGCCTGCCAGAACTGGTTCAGATGTGGAGATAGCATCTGACAGTCACGCCATATCTGGGCCAGAGTCGGACCATGGAACTGGGCGTATACTGGGCCGGAGGAAAACAGGCATGTGGGCCGAGTCTGGGCCGGAAAATAATAGTATCTACTGATGAGGCGTTCAATGACACATCTCACCGAAAATAAACTATCAATATCACTATTGATATCGATATCGGCGATTCTGGTATTGATTGATACCGGATCGAAATCACATCTCCTTGCCTTTAAACCACGCCCACCCTCTCTGTCTGTCTGTTTCTAATTTATTTTATATAATTAATATCATAATCCGGTTTCCCGCCTCTCTCTCTCCCAGGTTCCACCGGTCTGAGACCAGACCCGACCCTCGTGCACGGCGCTCTCTCTCTCTCCCTCTCTCTCTCTCTCTGTCGGTGACGCGCCCCCGGGTTCCGTCCTACCGGAGGCAGCGGCAGCGGCGCGGTGTCTGCTCGGTGAGATGCAGCAGAGCGCGGGAGAGGAGACTCACGGAGGAGCGGGATTTGTCCACTGAGGCCCAGGACCCGGAGCTGCTGTCGGATCCTTCCCGCGTCTGAACCGGTAAGAAGAAGAGCTCCGTGATGTGACCGTGTTGTCTGTGTGTTGCTCCCCGCTGATGACGCGCTCCTGTCAGCCGGAGCTGCGCCGCCATCACCCTCCATCCACGGAGGGGGACGGAGGGGGGCGAAGGTGGGGGGTGGGGGGCGAGCTGTGAGAGCGGGAATCATTTTCATGATGAGAGGGTGAAGTTGATGAGATGCTCGTGGCGGGAGAGTGAGTGTG